CGGTGCTCCCGTTCCCCTCCCGCTCCGCTGACGCCGCGCCCTCCCGCAGGTACGTGCTGTGCGAGGTGGTCTCGGAGGACCCGCGGTGCCGGCAGTGCATCGAGGACCGCGCGGTGGGCCTCGCCGTCAGGGACGCCATCGGGAAGGTGCACGGGGACTACGGCCTGGCCTGCTGCTCCATCTCCTTCACAGGTCCGGCGGGACGCCTGCCCCCGGGCCCTGGGAGGCGGGGGGGGCTCCTCCGGGAAGGGCTGTGGGCTCACCGGCGCGTGTGTGTCCCCGCAGTGAAGTACCTGAACGCCTACACCGGGACCGTGCTGCTGCGGTGCCGCAAGGACTCGTACCGGCTGCTCTGCTCCGCGCTCCCCTTCGTGAGGCAGCTGGAGAGCCGGAACCTGCGGTACCCCTGCTTCCTCAACACCCTGCACGTCGGAGGTCAGCCGCCGTGCCGGGGAGGGGAGGGGGGAGGCCGTAGAGCTTAATCGTACCTTCCAGACCTGCTAAAGTGGAAGAACCGCAGCTCCCTACTGTGGGTGTGATAGACACAGCTTATGCGTCACTAACTTAGCAGCTTCCAGCAGATCTAAATAAGAAACAGGCACCAGCAGTTCGTTGTTAAAGCCCTCACCAATTCTGCTTAAATCTTCATTACATTTAACACAAAACCAGAGCAGTGAATACTATGTTACATTATTTTCTTTTTAAAATATATTTTAAAGTATGGTATCCTGAAAATTAAAACCACTTGGGGCAAATAATGGGCACTACATGTCAGAAATTATTATTCCAGTTAACCTCCACAGTGCAGGAATGAAGTCTACAGCCACTTAATAATTGTTGCCTGGGACATTACATTCAGAAAATATACTAGCAGCTCTGAAACACTCGGTTTTGTAGATTGTTACATGTTTTTGTGACTCCTACAGGTACCATAAGAACATGTCAGAAATTTCTGATTCAGTATAATAGAAGACAACTGCTGATGTTGTTGCAAAACTGTACAAATGAAGGTGAGTTTCTCCAGCTGCTCTCCTAAAATGCAGCCTCAATTCCTGGAGATTCTGTAGGATATGCTGGGCTACTTCTGAGTTCTTGTACTAAGAAATGTTCCTTTCTTAGAAGTTGACGATATTCCAGCATATGTGAAGAGATCAAGTACTGACCCTCTGTTGCTCTTTATTGCAGAGGAAAGACAGTGTATACAGAAGTCCTTGTTGAGCTGTTCCCTTACAGAAGAGCAGTCTCAAAGCGGAGATGAGGAAGATGATGATGGCACAGAGACAGACTGAATGTTACTTGTTACTGTTCATCTCTGTCCTGTACTCGTGTAATCAAGATGATACCAGTTATCTTCAGTGTTAAGCAAGGGACAGAAAAAGCATCTGTACATATTTTGACTTCATTCCCCCATTCCGAGTGTTCTTAAATAAATTTTTTAAAAAAATAATACAGTTTGACTTAAGTAGGTTACTTGCCTGTTTCACAGCCACCTGCACTCCTAAGGAGCAGCTCAATGTGATCTTCATGCTGAGGTAGAAGTGAGCTTTAGGCAGTTGGCATGGCCAAGGAATGTAGTTATTCTCCTTTAGTACAGAAAAAGCATTAACATCTTACTGTTTTTTTTTACCATGTCTTCAAATGTACCTGTTATCCATAGGGCTATCCACTGTTTTGAGTCACAATAGCACCAGTTGTGTACACAGGAGCAGAGATGACAGGGAATACAAGGTAGAGCTGTAAGACTCCACTCCATCTAACCCATTATAAAACTCATAGGTACAAGTACTGCTTAGATATTTATTAAGTTTACACCAATCAGTTACAGGAAGGTAGCATTGCTGGTGGTATCTCTTGAATCCATAGGAAAACAAGATACAACTTGAAGATGCTGTCCTGTGGAGACTGCCCCTGCAGAAGGGACGGTCTGCCTTCCCCGCATCACTTCCCTTGCTCTAGTGCCTGTGAGAGGTGGAGGTGAGTTACACCAGCTCCAGCTATTCTGTCTCTCTTCCCAATGCAAAGAAAAGTTGAATATAAATGTGTAGAGATAATAGAACACAACAGATACTGGTTAGACACTTAATAGTTACTCCTGTTCCATGGCTTTAAATGACTATTACAAATAGGAAATTATAGTACCGTGAAGGCAGTTACCTGCGTACTTGAATCTTACTTGGCTGCTTTCTCTGCCCTCACCAATATTTTTCCAATGTGCACGTAAAGCATTAACAGCAAGATGTGCTACCACTTTCAGGCATCCTGCCTTAGTTTCTTTGCACTCTCTTGACAAGCTGTACTGTCTTTCAATCAAGTGTAGTCAGTTGTGACCAAGTGTGAAGTCAAGCTGCTTTCAAAGAATGTTGTGCAGGTGTTTCCTCTATCCTCCTGTAGCAGTTGAAGTATTTTTTACCTCCCCACTCTCCCTCTCCTTTCTGATTTACAGCCACACAGAGCTTTGTGCAGTATATTCTTTGGAACTAGCTTCCCATGCACACATGCTTAAGTGCCTTGAGGAAGCACTGGTATCATGTGCAGCCTATCACTTTGAAATCCAAGTGTCAGTGTACTGACAAACTTTTTAAACAGGGATACGACCAATGGCTTTACCAGTAGTATAAAAATCTCCACGCACACACTTCCTTGCTCAGATCAGTCACTGTGTAAAAGGGAGAGAGCACATCACCTTTTATAAAGCCTGTGCCAATGCAGGCCAACCACGGTGCAAATGAGGCCTCACCCTGTAGGTCAGGCAGTACTTTATACCAGCTCCCTGGCATGAACTGGGGCAGTAGGATGGTAAGATTTGAAACTATGCAACTAAGTGTTCTTGTGCTCCACACTGATAGGGTGCGGGTGCATATGATTTATTGCAACTGTTGGCCTTGTAACGTATCAGACACCTATAGTTCATTTTATTCAACAAAATCCACACCACTGAACTCATTAGCTCAAATCAAACTACAAGCAGTGCAGAATCTGACCACCCAAAAAAGAGCGGGGAGGGGTCCAAGAAGAGGCATGTTTATAGCCTGAGGTGCTTAGTGCAGATCAACTTACATCCCAAAACCAAGCAGATACAGGCCTTTATCCCAGTACAAGAGACCCCAGTCTCTTGCTGGGGGATAAAAGTTATCTACAGTCTCCAGCTATCAGTTGTTTTTCCAATTCAAGAGCAGCCACTGTCAAAACATTCAGGTAGTTACCAAGAGCCCTAGGGTGGAGTGTTTATTCTAGATGATCAGGTTACAAAGAATGTGTAGCCCATTGTTGGCAAAAAAAAAGTTAGCAGCCTCACTCACCCACATTAAAACAGAGTTGAACAACTGAGAGAAGCTAGGAGGTTCCTTCTACCACTAGTGCCAGTACGCATTTTGAAATACACAAAATAATCGAGTCACTTCAAAACCAAGTAGCTGAGTTGTGCTTTACACTCGCCTCAGCTTTAAATCTTTCCAAGCCAGGAGAACAGGAGGAATTCTTGCTCTTTAGAAAAAGAACGGATACAGCAGCTAACACCCTAAAGCCAGGAAGCTCTTTTGCCCATTTCAGTGCAGCAGAAACCAGTTTCTCAAGAGAGCAGTTTGACAGCTTTACTGAAACAGCACTACTGCCACAGTGAGATGGACTCCTGCCCATGAATACTTCCAGGGAAATAGGCTTGCTGCCTCTTCACTTAGTTAATATTGCAGTATTCTGGCAGTGACACATACTCCTTTCATACTCCTTATTAGGCCAAAAAACCAACACAGCACAGACTAGAAGCCTTGGCTGGTTTGTCTCTGGGTTGTTTCTTTCAAAACTTTGTTTCAGTATAAACTGATAAAGCAGTTGGGATCAAAAGATCTTACTTCAACATATACTATCATGGTTTCCTCCTGAACCCCCTAGAAGCCCTGGAAACACAAGTTTAGTCTGTTCAAATTTAAATACTTAAACTATAGCAGCAAAACAAAGCAAAATGAAAAGAAAACCAGGAGAGGAAACTTCTCTTGAATAGCAGAATCAGAATCACTTTGTGTGTACAACAGAGGTGCTGAACAATAGCTTCTGCTTCTGTTTCTTTCTTTTCTTGCCTCCCTTTTCCTCTGTGAAGAATTAAAATGATACTGTCATTCTTCTCATGGAACAGGAACATCACACAAATGATAAAAGGTCTTCCCTAGCTTCAATGACTTCTACGGGTTGTCCTGATTTCAGCTGGAATAAAGTTAATTTTCTTCCTAGTAGCTGGTACAGTGCTATGTGTTGGATTTAGAATAACATTGGTAACACACTGATGTTTTAGTTGTTGCTAAGCAGTGTTTATACTAATTCAAGGATTGTTTCAAGCTTCTCATAATGCCCTGCCAGCAGAGGCTGGGAGTGCACAAGAAACGAGGGACACAGCAAGGACAGCTGACCCAAACGAGCCAAAGGGGTATTCCATACCCTGTGACATCATGCCCAGTATATAAACTGGGGGGGGGTGGGGTGTTGGCCACGGGACACCAAAACTCAGGGATCAGATGGGCATCAATCAGCAAGTGGTGAGCAATTCTATTGTGCATCACTTGTTTTGTATATTCTCTTACTATTTTTCCTTTCCTACTAAACTGTCTTTATCTCAACCCATGAGGTTGGGTTTTTTTTTTTCCCCCAATTCTCTCCTCCATCCCACTGGGGTGGCAGGAAGTGAGCAAGCAGCTGTGTGGTGCTTAATTGCTGGCTGAGGTTAAACCACAACAAGGTCTGTGACACTTCCTATCAACTCACTGAGCACCAAGTAATTTAATTTTAATTAAAAAATTACTGCAAACACACCTATAAACATCCTTAATATTCTAAAACTGCTGTTGCAACAGCAGATCCTAGGACTGCAAGTGTGCAGTGGTTTGCATTTCAGACAAGTATTGCTTCCATCCATGTCCAAAACAGACAACTGGAGCTCCCAGACCCTCCTGTCCAACTCTCTCCATCCATCATTCAGTGCAGTCTCCAAATAGAAGCCAAAGCTAAACATCAGAACTGAGCATTATAAATGAGTTTTATCTGCCAGTACCCTGCTTGGAGGTTTAACTTAATTTCAATTTGTTTCAGACTCCTAATCTGAAATTTCAGCTGGCAGTTACCTTGACATTTTGGTCAAACATAAGTAGCAATTCAGCAGCTCAGGTATTTTTAGTTTAAAAGAGCATAACCTGAACTTCCTTGAGATAAAGCTTAAATTAAGTTCCAATAGAGACATGGCAAACATGATGGTCAAAAGCCATCTTTGTCCTAACATGATTCTTTGCTAGTTGGGAGATCTTCTCAGCTCCCACCAACAGAGCTGCTTTAAGCCCTAGTCAAGCTGTTCAGAAACCACCACCTGACAGTTTTCAGAACTGTTCTGTGGCCAATTTTTGGTCCCCAAAACTGCTGCTCTCACTTCTCCCAGAGGAAGAAGAGGAAATGCTCAGTTTTTTCACTTCAGAAATTTTTCATGCCTTCCTCCCACCTTGTACCTGATAAATGATCAGCTGTGGACGGTTTGTCCAGTTTCAGGAGGGCTGCCTCAATAGCTTGGCTGAAGGAATTCTGGAAGCTGGGCACAGGTATGCGGTCAGAGCTGTCACTTTCTCCATCACTATCCACTGACACAGGGAGTGCCAGAGTATTCTCATCTGAAAGAAGGAAAGAACCTTAAGAGACAGAAGGTTGTATAAAACTTTCACAGTGCAAATGCTCGTGAAGTTGTATCTTAGATTTAGATGCACAGTAAAGAATCTGATGTAATAATACCAAATTTTCTTACCTCTTGTCTTTGGAGCAGGTTTGGGCCATGTTTCTGGTTTCGCCTTTCCAACTCTCAACATCTATCAAAAAGTTGTAAGACATGATTAAATCCCATGTATTAGAACAATCCTGCATATCCTCTAAGTAGCAAGAAAGTCTTGGAATCCCCTGAAGGACTCAAACCCTGCATTGTCTCCACAGATTTATCCCACATTGTTTTTGTGGGGGAAGCATTTGTGTTCTCAGACTAATCCCCAACTAAGACACAAGTAATTCTGACAAGATTTACTCTGCTACATGGCTTACCTGGGCAAAGGAAGGGAAGGGAGACTCTTCTTCTAAACTCCCACAGAGCAACGGACTGACCTGGCTGGCAGCAGGTGACAGAGGAGTTGGAATAGACTCTACAAAGAAAGCAGCAAATAATTAAAACCAGTTGCATTTGGCAAAGGCACTCATTATGCTGCTTATCAAGATGAAACAACGATTATGTTATGTAATTAACCATTTTTATCTCACCAGTTTCCATTAGTCACACAGTGGGACCTCTAAAAATTCCTCAATCTTTTTATTTAAGGGAGATTTAAGTCTGGATTTGTTGATGGGTTTGTTTGTTTTAGGGTTTTTTGTTTACTTATTTTGGAGTGTTGTATGAGGTTTTTTTGTTTGGGGTGGTTTTTTTTGGTGAGGTGTTTTGGTTTGATTTTTTTTAGGAAAAAAACCCTTTAAGAGTAGTTTCTATTTAATATTTTATGAACTGCAAGATAAAACATTTTGTAAAGCATGACTGGACAACAACCTAGCTGAGAGCTCATCAACCACATTTTATTTCATTATAATGTGGTGGCAAAAATGGAGAGGGTAGAAAGAAAAATTGCCAGTAGCATTTTCCAGGCATACACACTTTTCTTCCCTTTTTGGAGCATTTTTTTCTCCTTTCTTCTGCCTCAGCAAAGACTTAAACAAAGGGGTAACTACAATGCAGATCTCATATTGTCACTGAAGTAGAGGTAGTAAAAAGCAGAAAAGGACCAGAATGTTTCTTAACTGTGCCAGCCTTTTGTGTATGATCTCACAGGCAATCTATGAAAGAAGCAGTCTTTCATCAGTATTAAGAAAGTTTAGAGTGATGACCTGAGCAGTAGATCCCAAAAGAATGATCAAGAGCTAGATGTGATGTGTTTTTCCAGATGCTCACCTGTCTGAAACACAGGGCTTCTGCCAAGAGGAGACAGACAGAAGCTCTGATGATCAATGCTGGTAGTTTCTCCATGACAAGAGGTAAAAGCAGGGAACTGCTGCAGATTCTCTAAAGCAATATGGACCTCTGGATCTAGAAAGAGGTTTTAAATTAAAGCACTACACAATGTGGGGGAGGACTGTCAATATGCAAGTTGTTTCAGGAGTCTAGGAGGTGCCAACTCAATTTTTTTCCACCCTCTATTTTAGAGACCAGCACAAGCCTTGCTGCTGGATGGAAGCAGTTCCTAGGCATTTTTCTTCCTTCTTCATTTTTTTATTCTATATCGTGATTACTATAAAAACAGCAACTAAGAATCTTGAGAGCTATACACACCATGGAGACAGCTGCACCCTCTAATGCCCTCTTGTCTCTGTCATAATGGGCAAGTATGCAGCAATTGCATAACATCATTTAACATCCTAACTAAAACAGCTTATATTTTTTTCACTCTACAGACACTGTTTCTAATACCTCATAATCTTTTCCTAAGTACACACTACAAACTAAAGGGCTTAGAGTTTATCCTATAGCTCAAGAAATCAGCTCAGCAACTAAAGATGACTGGAAACCCACCAGTTATGCTCAATCACAACTTACATTTGCCCTGTTTCTTGTTTTCTTCTATCTCAATTCTGCGTTCACGTCGTCGTTCATCACGAGCTTTCTTCTGCCGTAGACGTTTCCTCTTTTCAAGGTCATCTAGGAGCAATGCACAGGACTGGATATCAAAAAACC